ATAGAGGATGTGTATATATTAGTCGAGTGTTGCTGAATCGAGAATTCGGGAAAGAAGATGAGGCCTTGTGAGCATGCTTAGGCGTTTTGCTTTTGCTTTGTTATTACAGAAACAGTTGGACAGCTTGCCGTTAAAGTACGCCATCAAAAGAATAAAGCAATCAGCTGCTTGGAATTTTCCGAACCTCTGATCTCTCGTTGTCTTTTGCTGCAACCTTCTTCAGAAGGTGCTCAATTTAGTGCTCTTTCATCTTTCTATTCAACATTCTCTTCTCTTATCATTTTGTTAAATTGGCCACGGGATAAAATCAACGCAGCGATCGCTTTTTTTTTCTTTTTTTTCTAATGCTTTATTTTCTATTATGACAAATTGAATTTGCGTAATGCGAAATGCTTCCAGTCACATGTTTTAGGACAATCAATTTTAACTTTTTCCTTTTTTTTTCCAAATTTTCCAAATTTAAAAATAATTGTTATTTATTTTAATCTATATAAAGATATATTTGGACACTCCTAGCACATCGTTTCACTTGCAATAAAATTAAAGACAAGTAATCAAGAAATTTGTGCAGTGAATTGAAGTTGATTAAGTGATGCCGAAATGAATAAGGATCCAGAATTGCTAATGTAAACTTGAGAAAAAATGGATCCAACAGAGATTTGATTGCTGGAAAATTGAAGTTTAAAGGTTGTGGTAACATTTCGTTTATATTTACAGCTTTTGTATTACAACAATATCTGTTGCCATTATGGTTTCCAGCAAATATATGGTCGTTTTATCGAAGAGTAAAAGAATGAAATAATTATTATATCTTGTTTCAAAGAAGAATATTTCTTCAAAAATGCTTGTCGAATTTTTCATTTTGGAGAGTTACAAAAGATGTGCTTTTTATAAAACTTAATATAGAAACTTATTCATACTGCTTGGAAATAATTCAGAAGTTTCAAACAGACCTAGAAAGTATTATCATATGTTAATTAATGACTTCAAATCGATGCAAATCATTAACTGTCTAATCAGCGTAATAAGCGTACGGATTAAAACAAAACAATCTCTTTCTATGATTGTCAAGAATAACACATAATAATATTGCGCGGATGTTTTGAAATAATGAGTTTATAAATGATAGCAATCATTTATAGAATGTATGGAAAGCAATGGAAAATATGAGAGTTATATCAATCTAAAAAAAGCCTAAATTATGAACATTATTGTACTGTGTCGTATTTTTGCACTTATATTATCCTATTTGTTTACCGTAATATCTATATTAGCTTCTACAATCGCCCTATTAACACCACAATGGCAAATAGTGACAATAACGGAATTTCATGCTGAACATCAGCATGGCCTTTGGATGGATTGTATTCTTGGAAAGAAGCATGTACAAGGTTAGCACATTTATACTACTTGTCTATTGCTAACCCAATTTGGTGGATTTTTCATTTATGGCTGAAAATTTGATATAATTACTTAAAATTAATATTTAAAGATTTAAATGAACAGATATTTTTAATCTAGAAAGGTGAAAAGGTGAGAAAAAACTCTATTAGGTATATTTGATAAACAGCTTTGCTCATTTCCCATGATTCTACATTTATCATAGTTATAAAAATTAAAAGGGAAATAATTATTTTGAAATTTTAATTTACAGGTACATCTGAAAGGAGTCTTCACTGTACATATAAATTTGAAAATGCTCAGAAAAATGATTTACAAAATGATGAAGTTAATGAAGAACAACATAAGTTTCACAGTAAGCATTTAAAATTGATTGTATTAGTAATTTGAATTTGCTTTGGCTAGTTCTAGTTAGTTTTAATTAAATCTAAACTAATAGTTTGCTCGATAGGCATAGATAGTCAATTCATCGCTGTATTGTATTATACTTCTTAAGACAAAAAAATTTTTTTAACTATTATGATTGATAGATTAAAATAGTATTTTCTAAGCACGTCGAAAATATCAGATGATATATTACTGCCTAGTGGAAAAATTCATCTTTTATAATTATGTGATACAACCAAAATTTACTATGACAAGTTAGAATTGTATAAACTGAGAAAATACTTATCATTATCTCCTATGATTGTAACAAAGAATTTGACAATTTCTAATGTAGGTAGATCATTAAATTTCAGTTAAAAAAACTTTAAAAACTCTGAAAAATAAGAACAAAAGACTAGACAGGACGAAAAACGCAATATCACCTAAAACAGTAAATTGATTTTAATTTTCAAAATAATTTCACTTGAAAACAATCATGATAGATTATAAAAACTCATACTTCCTATAAAACAAGAAAAGAAAAAGCAAATTTATGATTGATTACAGGCATATCTAGGTGATTAATTGCTATAAATGATGTTAAGATATTAAAATAAATTAAATTAAATATTTTTCAGCATTCTGTCGTTATTTTTTTTTTGCAACAAATTACAGATTGGCACAAAGCCGTTCTATGTTTATTACTTCTGGCGCTATTAGCAGCTCTCATTTTGTGTTGCTTTTTGATGTGCGCATTATATTTTCGTATTGCAGCTCTTGTTTCATGCACATTATCATTAATTGCAAGTAAGTTATTTACAAAATATTATCTTCAAGCCAAAAACGGTACCTTTATATGTTTTCTTTTTGTTAAAATTTAAATTTTAAACTTCCCAAACAATCGAATATGCAAATTAATTGAATGGGTTTAGTTTGACAGTTGACATTGTGAACCTTTTTCCAGGACGTCCATGTTTCGCTGTATTGGGCATGATAGTCGGATTACCTTCCCGAGAGGTTTGTTACTGAGTGACTGAACAGTCTTTGGTGATTTCACATTCATGTCAGCGTTCCATCATAGCTTTCCCAAATTTTAATTTATTTTATTCCTTACTCCATTGTTTTAGCGATCTTGTCGAGTGTTGGCACAGTTGTGTTCTTTATTAATTCACACAAAGTTGAAATTCGATTTGTGCAGGGTATCACTCGAACATATGAGGTTTGTCTACGAAATTTATTTTCATGAAAAAATTTTATAGTTTACAAAATACATGTCATGTAAGCGCACTTAAGTACTTCATCAGTGAAGCCGTATAACATTTTCTCATTTATATAAATTCATATAAAATTTCATTAAATTACAGCAAAGGTGTGGCTATTCATTTTATTTGGCGCTTTTCTCCTGCGTCACTTTTCTAGCAGCATTCCTCTCTTCAGTGTTTTGTACAGTAATGGTATTTCTGCATGAGCGCAATCGACGACAACCACCAAAAACATATCCATTAATTAATAGTGCCGTGTGAAAAGTGAACTGAAATACCACTCTACAATCAAATAGATACCTAGTGATTATCTTTTCACTTCATTCCGTGTGTTATATATGATAACTTGAAGTATGTAATAAGCCTGATAATGGAAATATTGAGTTAAATTTATGGTGAGAACAGTAAGTTGTTAAAAGTTCTAGAATCATAAAGGTTTTAATTATGAGTTTAACAATTATCAAATTGATAATTAAGGTTTTCTTTTTTTTTTTTTTAGAGTTGATGTATTTAAAATTTACATCTTGTTTTAGAAAACCTTATATTCTACTGAAACAATTAGAAATGCTTTATCTATATGATGAATTATTTTTACTGACTTTTCGTACATAAATGTTAGCCTACTCCGTTTCGCTGCCATAAATGAAATAATAAATTTACGTTTGATTAAAAGTAATTATTTCATCATTGATATAATCACTCTTGATCAGACAGGTGATTAAGACTCATTTCATTATGACTATTTAATTGTATCATGTTTCATAATATTTGTAATATCATGTTTCATAATATTAAAAGTACTGATCACAAAGGCACAATCAGTCAAATCTTTTAACTACGTGATAATTAAATACGATGAGCTTTGCTTCAATTCATCTACTTAATGTTCTGAAAACTGTCGATATGTAACTTCCATTTTGTTGTGCATTATGTGTATAGTATATTATGGATAAAATTTTCCAGATCTTGAACATTTTTACATTTGTTTAATTTTAGAGATTAGCAAATACCACT